AAATCATACGGACGTTTAAAAAGTCATCAAATCCAATTAAAACTGATTAATCATAATTGGTCAGTTCAACATCAAGATTAGAGTCCATAATTCAATAAAATTAAATCGAGTTGAACCGATTCAATTCAATTACCATCCAGTTACCATACAATTAATAAATATATATAATTAATGATCTTTTACTAAAAATATATGAATAATTCTGATCCAATGGATAAACAATAGTAATATACAATGGATATAACTGAACTAATCGAGTTGTGTACTTGGATTGGATTGGATTGGTCCGACGTTTAATATTAGTTGGATTTGATTGGATGACAAAATCCAATATCCAATGAATAATCAAATGGAATTGAATCCAACTGAATCAGGTATGATGAAACTTGATTATATATCGTATTTATCTTAACAAAAAGTCAAAAATTCCACCCCATCAATCACTCCATCGCTCTCTCATCTTTTCCATATTCTTGATTGAAGTGGGGTGGGGTTTCCTAACATCAAAAGTTTGCTTTTTTATTTTTTTGAATATAATCTTTTTAATATATTATGTAATTTTTTACATTTGTACAATCAATACAACTTAATCTCAATCGTTCATTTAATTTGATGAATATGTAATTTCATAAAAGTATTAATTATTTCCTAATATAAAGTATTAATCATAATTAATGAACCCTAATCATCTTCCATAAATATTTAAATAATAATAAATGAACTCTCATCATTTTCATAAATATTTCAATTGATTGAGTTGTATTGATTGTACAAATGTGATGAGTTGCATTTGAAACGWTCTCTCTCTCTCTCTCTCTCTCTCTATATATATATATATATATATATATATATATATATATATAATGATATACATAGTTCTAAATAAACACAACCAAACTTTTCCATAAGACCATATAACCCTGTGTTTCCTTATGTTATACTACTATCATAAGATTTAAAACAACATCATTTTTACAAAGTATATATTTAATCTTTTGCAAAATCATCTTGTTTTTGCTTTCTTTTCATGATATGATGATTATACGAAAAGGAGTTGTTTCCTTATCAAACAACTCACATGGGGTGTAAAAAGTAATCTTTGGTGCCACCACCACTCTTCAATGTCTCCTTATAACACAAATTAATTAAATAGAAACATGGTTACAATTTATCAAACATTTGAGACAACCATGGCTATGTAAAGTGTAAGCTCAAGAAAATAAACCAACTCTTTACTTAAATTTGAAACCATTTTTTCATATGCATGTACATAGACGAAGGTTCGTGTGAGAAGGGAAGTTATGGTAAGAAGAATATGAACTCTTGATCACTTTTAATCTCATGTCCAAAGGAATTGATCCGAGATGCACCTCATTAGTGTTGACATTCAATTAGGATTGACGCAAGGATGGAAATCTCTTCACGCAGACAAACGTGACAAAGGGTTGTAGGAATGGTCGTTCGCTACATGGTTGGTTAATGCAACATGGTGGTATCACATGTGATATTGGAACTTCTTGCCTTCTCGTAAATTGACCGCCTTCTTGTATGATCCTGCGTGCATATATGTATGCTACAATGATTGTTAAAGTTAAATTCATTTTAACGTTTCAAGTAACCAGTCATGTTTATTAACTTAACAGAGTCGTTTGGTGTAAACACCGACATGATTGATGGTAGAAATCAAAATTCATTTGTAATCAATCTTTTAATGCATAGGAGTAGATTGGGGGGTTATTGTTGCAGACAAGAACAATGTATGAAAAAATAGCTTTTAGGGTTTATAATAGTCCATGATTGTGGCATCTATGTGAACCACACCCATACAACTTTTTGATAGGTCCATGGGGGAAAAGTATGAGTAGAAAACTTTTTTATGGACAAGGCCCCACCCATATTCTTCAAAGCATGAGCTATGTATGTTAAATACAATATTTTGTTGTTTTTATGTGTATTTTACTATTATATATACATAATCATAGACCAACTATTATGCCCCACTCCGTTTTATTCTTTATATTTACTCTTGTGTAAAAATATTTCCATTTTTCTTGCATCATGATAAATGTAACTCAAAAATGATTACAAAGATGTAAAACCAATAGAGATCACATGCAAAATGAACTTCCAAGTTTTACAATCATTTTAGTAATCTATCTTTCTTGAGAGTCAGTCTTCTCATCATACAAATTTATTATAGTTATTTGTCTGTATTGAAATATTGATACAGTTCTTTTCTATGCAAAGTTTTTTCTTTAATTTCTTTAAGAAGGATATAAACTCATAACTTGTAAGAGATTTCATGTGAAATACAACTTAATGTAATGGAAATCATAAACAAGTTAATAAACTCAAAGGAATCATTAAAGCATATATATAGAGAGAGAGACTTGAGATTATGTGAGACCAAAGGTTTTTCGTGAAACCCGTAAGACCAATTCTCAACTCTTAGATTAGATCTACAATCTGACAATCTGAACATTCATAAACGCCACGAGACTTCTCAATAATCACAAAATTGTCACCGTGCAACTTTAAAACATTAGATCATTAGCTTATAAAGTTGATCAATGAACATAAATTGGTCTTATGGGTCTCACGAAAAACCATTGGTCTCACGTGAACCAACCCTATATATANTATATATATATATATATATATATATATATATATATATATATATATATGATCAAGTTGAAAGAGTCTTGTTATTGCATCCCATGTTGCTCTGTAGCATCACCTGTAGATGCATTAGTGGTTTTGTGACTAAATTAAATAACATGATGTGGTTGCTACTAATCACATTTGCCACCATTTATATTTTATTCCTACTCATGCTCATGGAATCATATTCTTCTCAAAATAACGTGTAATTATAACCTTATGCATCCATCTGGTATGGTCAAGAAATCTTTAAGCATTACTTCTATCAATCGAAATCTTAAGATAGTGAACGACAACCAAACTGTCATGTGATGTATGCGTAAATCAGCAAACAATCTAACCTTTGGGTTTCTTAGCAAAATGGCCTGCTGCTATTGAATCTGTTGTTGGTATAACCCTAAATGTACCAAACCCGAGTAGACCGAAACTTCAGATTCCGCTCTATGGCACGTTGACACCTGTTAACTTTTAATCCCAAATGTTCTCTAATTAAATGTTTAGTTCATTCTCTCTAAAGCAGCCCAAAGGAACTTAATTTGTAGATGAAAGTAGAAAACAGATTGAAAAATCCACAACTATTGCAATGATACATAAAAACAGCACAGCATCTGGCCTAAAGTTTTAAGACTTTGAACCAGAAGCCAAAATCACATGAATGAATAAGAAGTTGGATCATATGGATTATGGATCCCTTTCTGGTGTTTCTGACATCATGCAAGAAAAGTTCTGTTTCCTGTTATAATGTTGTTTTTTGAATTTTTGGAAGTACTTTGGTTGTTTTTAGAGCTAGTGACAAGCAGATGGTTGTAAAAGGGCATATGCTTCTTCCATTCTACAGAGGCACAAAGCAGGTTACATGATGGGAAAAATGGACGACAAAATCATCTTATATATATTGTATTATAATCATAAATATAGAGGGGGAGAGAGAGATATGGTTGTTTTTATATATATATATATAATTTATATATATAGAGGGAGAGAGAGGAGGGAAAATTGTATTCCAACCACAAAAATGTTATAAACCCATGATAACCAATCCAAATCATTCAATAAGTTGCATTTTAAGCCAGGATTCAAGTTCTTCTGCATGTTTTGTTTTTGTACATTATTCAAACATATTGAATGTAAATACATGTTTTTTTCATATGCACTAAAAATGCTGCACGTTTCATCTATAATACGTTTAGCCCAAGGGGACATATATAATGATTGTTATAAACAGACATCCATCCTGGGGTAAGTTGAGACCTTGACCATGACATGATGTCAACAAACATAAGGCCAGGACTAAATATTGTGCTTATTTGATCCTTGGTCATTGTACAGCATTATTATGGCATATTTATAGTCATGTAGTAACATGAAACGGAATTAGCCAACTATTGCTATGATGACTATAAAATATTGAATGGCACCAGAGCCTTAGGCGAGTGGTTATGCGACTAAGGTCGCAAGTGAACTCGCGCAAAAAACTGTTTCAATTTTCCCATCAGCGTGTTGCATGGGTTGTCCCGCGAGCGGCAGGAAACCATGTGGACCTCTATTTTGGATATTTTGCAAAACTCTTAAATCAGGTCAAGAGACCTGAAACTGTTTCAATTTTCCCATCAGTGTGTTGTGTGGGTTGTCCCGTGAGCATTTTGACCTCTGTTTTGGATTGCATAACACTTAAATCAGAGTCAAGAGAGTCCCGTCTTTTTGATTTTTAAATATATGTCAAGCCATTCTCTATACTTGGGCTTTTCTTCAATTTGTTAACCATTGTGAGAATAGATTTATAAACACACAAAAAGGTTCCAAGACCTTATTAATTTTCAATTACAAGGTCCATATTATATGATATGGTGGGCAGACAGCAGCTGGTGGTGGTGCTATCCCTTCCACTTTCATATCATGTACAATTGTTTCCAATTGCCCGTATTTCAAAAGAAATGCTTCTCCAATGGCCTACTAGAGTACTAGCCTTCCAAAATATGGATAGGGCCTTATCCTAAAAGCATCTTTGTGAACCTTTAATACTTAAAAGTGATGGGCAATACATGACTACGAGAATATATGTCACGACTTGATAGAAAGTGAAAGACTTGCATAAGAATAGTTAGAAAAGGTACCACTTGAATCTATAAACATTCTCAAAGCAGAATGTTTGTCAGCCCCTTAGAGTCTTTGCTGTATCAATTAATCATTCAACTAATGGGATAGCCAGACGTCCACAACCGTTATGTTTCAATCGCAATCTTAATGCTGATGGTTCAAATTTTTAAATAGCATAAAATGATCATTGAAACAGAGTAGCAAATCGTGCAACCAATCAGCCAAGACCAAGTGATCGATTATAAAGCAACAAGTTGATTTTTGTAGGAATATAAGAGAAGGTAATGTGAGGATCACCCAATCCAATAATTCATCACATCATCTGCTAATATAAGCATTCATAGACTCTCTAATAGAGCATTTTCCAACATATATCAATGGAGAAACGATTCAAACCTAGCCACGTGAAACTCTTTAACACGCTCCTTCCAATAGAGGCCAGACGTTACAGATTGTCCTAGAGTGTTGAGGGTACGTATTGCCTGTCGAGTCCGTGGTAGATCTTGGCTCTATAACATGTGAGATTATGTAGAACCCCGTTAGATTACTCTCCGAAAGAGTTCTTAAAGAGGAGAGTTTTCATGTCTAGCCCAAGTGGGATTTATTTAACACATACCAACGGGGTATAAGCACAATTCGGACTCTATTGTATGCATTTACATAACCAAGTTGCCAAAATAACTCAACAGCCCAGAAATTAAGAAGCACATCCATTCACTTGAGGATATGAAAAAACACCACAAAAACTGTAAGATTTTTAATGATCATGACTAATAGCAGGAACTACGGTTACTGTACAGGATGAAACAAAGACAAAATCAACTACCTGAATACGCTTAGGAGGAAAATTTCAGTCGGAATGTGAATCGGAATATGAATAGCCATACTCGAAGACCTCTTCACCTCCGGAGAAACTCATGTAAGAATCGGAATCCGTATCCGAATCAACATCATGATAAGCGTAAGAGTAATGATAAGAATCAGTAGGAGACGGAGGCACGCAGAAACAGGTCCAAATACAATGCGCAAGACGACCTAACTGTTGAAGAGGAAATACAATCACCAGATCTAACAATTCTCGGCTGCTAATTCTGTCGTGAACACATGCTACAGATTGCCATACATCGGCGGAGACGGTGGCCACCGATGAAATTAACATAGTGTTGAATACCATCTCTGAAGTTGTCTCTCCAAGATTGAGATGTTTTTGTTTTCCTTCTAGAAATTACAAGCAAAAGCTCGGATTGGGGAGATAGAGTTCATGTTGGATTGTTATTGCTTGTTGTTCTTCGTCCCTCCATAGCTGGTCATTGGTTGATCACAAATATTCAGGGATTTATCATTGTTGACTTTCTAGAATAACGTTGACTTCCTGATAGTCAAGGAGTATCATTTATTCGTTTTTGAGTCATAGATAAATACAACTTTGATTTTCTTTAAAATTATTTATTTCGAGTTTGAGACTATTTATAAAATTAATTTATTGATTTATTCTTCTGTGACATCGGTAATAAGTAATTTTAAGTGTTTAGATAAACAGTTTATATCGATATCAAAACTAGTAATAAGAAGTTTTTGAAGAAATGGAACCATTCTAACTTAAAATAAGTTGATAAAAACTTTTATAGAAAAGTATAAATTGTTTTAAATAAACAATCTCAAACACCCCTTTAATCATAACAAGGGTGGCGTCTGATTGGTTTGAGCTTGCCTCCAAAGGTCAAAAGTACCAGGAGGTCTCAAGTAGGGATGGCAACGGGGCGGGGATGGGGCGGGGTTCACAATCCCCGGCCCCGGCCCCGGTTTATACACACAGTCCCCGGCCCCGGCCCCAGTCAACCCCGGTCAACCCCCGGTCAACCTTCGGTCAACCCCCGGTCAACACCCGGTCAAATAAAAATTAATAAGTTTTTTCTAAGCATGATCAACATAACAACATAATTACATCATATCTAGTCTTGTCTAATAAAAATAATAAAATTGTAAAATTAACAATAATCCAAAGAAATGTAAAATTTAAAACAGGTGTTAATATAATTACATCATATCTAGTCAAGAAGAGTAGAAGAGGATTGAAATTTGGACATATCAATTACAAAGCCCAAKTCCATAAGTCCAACAGGCCGCACATATCAATTATAAGCCCAAATAATCAAAATGTTAATATTTATATATATACCGGGTGCGGGGCGGATCGGGGGATACAATACCCGGCCCCGGCCCCGGTTTGCCTCTACCGGGGATCCCCGGCCCCGGTACCCGTTTTAGCGGGGAATCCCCGTCCCCGTCCGGGTCGGTGAACCGGGTTCCCTACCGGGTCGGGCCAAATCACCATCCCTAGTCTCAGGTTCAAATCTGATGAGAAATAAAAATCCCCTTGTGGCCACAGAGGTTCAAATGCGATGATTTCGGGCTATCTGCAAAGTAGGTGGTCGCCCTGGGATTAGTCGGCTTACATAACGGGTTGAATATTCAGGTTAATCAAAAAAAATATTTTTATAAATGCAATAAAAATATAAAAACAAAAATTATTTAAAATATTGCTAAAAGATTACAAAATTTTATTACTTTTTAAAAAGAAATGAATTAAAAATATAAAATGACAAAAATTCTCTTGATTTACCTCTTTAGCATGTAACTCATTAATCTACATGATTTGATGTGGATTTCTTTTTTTCATGCCACATCATTATTTGATTCATTAGTCAGCATAACAAACTCTAAATTGCTTAAATCAAAATTTGAAAAAAAAAAACTCAAAATCTTTGATGGTGAGAACTTATTTATATAATAGATCTAGAGTTAATCATTCAGTTGTCTATTCAATTATTATTCAATTATCATTCAGTTAATTTATTTACCAAATTGTTTAAATCAGAATTTGTTTTATGTGAGGCTTTGAATTTTTAACTTCTCTTCTGTTGATTTTAACACATTAAAAATGATTAATTAATTTGTATCATTATTGAGTTTGAGATTGATATAGAGGTTATCGGAAAGTTTTGGGTTTTAAGGCTGGGGATTAAGGCCATTTTTTAACAAGTTTGCGAGTTGTAGGGATAAATCAGAACCAGAGACGTTTTCAGGCATGGTGACTCGGTTGAGCGGATGAAAGAAGTTAAATGGTATATGATGAGCAAACTTGCTCTGATACCATGTTAACAAGAGGTGATTGGTCGGGGAACATTTGTAGTATTCTGTGTAAAAGTTCTTACAAAGAAGAAGAAGACAGCCACTATAAATACAAATTTACAATGATCTAAATATGGAAAACAACTATGAATAACTGTCAATTAGAGAGAAATGGGATATTTGCTCTCCTAAATTAATGGGGAAATGATGCTAAGCCACCAATCTTGCAGATCCCGTAAAATTATTTTCCAACCTTCCTTTTAACACTCACCCTCAAGTTGAATAGTGGGATTTCCAAAACTCAACTTGCCCAGACACTCGTGCAAGGTTCTTTTATTAACAGCTTTTGTCAACATACCGGCAAGTTGGTCTTCTTATCGAACAAACGGAAGTGTGATGATCTCTGCTTCCAATTTTTCTTTGATGAAGTGTTGATCAACTTCTATATGCTTTGTTCGATCATGTTGTACTGGATTTTCTGAAATTTGAATGGCTGCCTCATTATCACTCATAATTTTGCTAGTTTCTTGTGGTGGATATCCTATCTCGGTTAGGAGCCTTCGTACCCATARCACTTCAGTTATCCCCCTTGCAATTCYCCGGAACTCAGCTTSTRCACTTGAAAGGGCCACCACCKTTTGTTTCTTGCTTCTCCACGTAACKAGATTTCCACCAACTAAGGTAAAGTATCCTGCGRTGGATCTTCGGTTGCCTTTATCCCMTGCCCAATCTGCATCGGTATACAGTTGAGYTTCAAGATGCCCGTTTGGTTTGAACAAGACTCCATGCCCTGCYGTKCCCTTKAKATATCTTATAATTCTTAAGACTGCTTCCAYGTGAGYCTTTTGGGGTTGATGCATAAACTGACTTACSACTCCTACARCATATGCTATATCGGGTCGGGTGTGTGARAGATATATCAATTTTCCTACMATTCRTTGGTATCTTCCTTTRTCGGCAAGGTCTGYTTTTTCCTCCATATAAAGYTTTTGATTCACAATCATCRGAGTGTCTGCTGGTTTGCAATCAACYATAYCGGTTCCGGCTAGTAAATCGAGGACATACTTCTTTTGGTGCATGAAGATCCCCTGTTCTGATCTTAGAATTTCAATCCCAAKGAAATATTTGAGTCTCCCTAGATCTTTCATTTCAAATTCTGTGAACAAGTTCTTCCTCAGTTTGATTATTTCTTYTCTGTCATCTCYTGTAATAATCATATCATCGACATAGATTATTAGGCAGGTTATGAGATTGCCTCTCCGTTTACGAAACAAAGTATGATCTGAGTTACTTTGTTTAAACCCGTAGTTTTTYATGGCTAAGGTGAACTTCCCAAACCATGCTCTAGGGGACTGTTTTAACCCATAGAGAGATTTTTTCAGGAGGCACACTTCTCTTTTTCCAAACTGGTCTGTGAATCCATGTGGAGCTTCCATATAAACTTCCTCCTTTAGTTCTCCGTGTAAGAAAGCATTCTTTACATCAAACTGATGTAAGGGCCATCCTTTATTTGCTGCTACAGAAAGGAGAACCCTGATTGTATTCATTTTTGCAACCGAAGAAAAAGTTTCAGAGTAATCAATTCCGTATGTTTGTGTATAGCCTTTAGCTACCAATCTCGCTTTGTATCTTTYAATTGTACCATCTTGTTTGTATTTAATTGTAAAAACCCACCGACACCCGACAGTTCTCTTTCCTGGAGGCAAGACACGTTTTCCCATGTGTTGTTTTTTTGTAAGAGCTCTCATTTCTTCTTCCATTGCATCTTTCCATTGCTTTGATTTTAAGGCTTGTTCTGTATTAGTAGGGATTTCCTCAGAATACAAAGATGAGGCAAAGGCCTTGGCTTTCTCGGATAGATTTCCTTTGGCTATGTTAGCCATTGGATATTTGCTTCCTCTGGACTCCTTTTCTGGGGAATACCTTTCGGTGGAACTCCCCGATTTGCTCTTGGTGGTAGTACATATCTTCCCGATGTGTCTTCTTGTGTGGGAAAATTCTCAAAGTTCTCTTACTCTTCCATATGTTCACTTTGCCCTGTTGCTACATCTTCTTGAGTGGTGAACCTTTCTTGTTCATGTACACTCTCACCTTGCCCTGTTGTGTTATTAATGTGTTCGGGTATAAAAGAAGAGTGAGTATTACTTACCCCGGGTATCAGGTTAGGAGCAGTTTCCTGAGTGGCACTGACGTTTGGGTATTCAGGTTGTGTGGATAAAGGAGATTCATTTTGTGGACTGTGGCTCCTTCCTTCTTCATATGTTACATATGTCAACCAACTCAGTATGTCGGTGTCAATATATTCTCTCTCCTCCTGACCACTATTTTGGGAGGCATAGTAGTACTCAGTTTCAAGAAAGTCAYAGTTCATAGTAGTGAACATGTGTCGGGTTTTTGGATTATAACATCGGTATCCCTTTTGAGTGATTCCATACCCAACAAAGACACATTTCTCAGCACACGGGTCGATTTTGGATCTGTGTGATTTAGGTATGTGAACGAATACAGTGCACCCAAAGATTCGTGGTTCAAGAGTAAGAATGGATGGAGGTTTGGTAAAATCTATGAGAATTTGCAAAGGGGTTTTAGATTTTAGAATTTGAGTAGGAAGTCGGTTGATAAGATATGCAGCCGTAACAAGAGCTTCTGGCCAAAAAAACTTTGGAACTTGTGATTCTATTAGAAGAGCCCGAGTGATTTCTAATAGGATGCGATTTTTCCATTCTGCGACTCCATTTTGTTCTGGAGTATGAGGGCAAGTGGTTTGATGAACTCTTTCCTTAGTTTGAAAGAAGAGTTTCATATCGGAGTTAACAGATTCTCTTCCATTGTCGGATCAAAAAACCTGAATGTTTTTCTGAAATTGGGTTTGRACCATGGTGTAGAAGATGATAAATTTATCAAGGACTTCATATTTATTTTTTAATAAATAAACCCAGGTCATACGAGTGCAATCATCCACGAAGACAACAAAAAAATGAAAGTTTTGTCCCCCAATGATTGGAGCAGGGTCCCACACATCCGAATGAATCAATGAAAAAGGTAAATCGACCCTTGTATTATTTGGTTTGAAAGTTTTTCAGTGACTCTTAGCTAACACACAAGTTTCACAATGTGACWTGCAATTGGAAGGAAACAATTTAGGAAATAAAACACACAAATAACCGGTGGATGGATGCCCCAGCCTCCTGTGCCGTAG